GTAAGGGCACTGGAGGAAGTTGTCTGGTCTTACTTCTCCCTCAGATCTCCCTGCTGACAAGCTCCTGCAAGATGAGTTGTATTGGTGCATGCTCTTTCTGCATGGATCCCTGTTGCAGGAAGAATGAAGGAGAGGGACCCTGATGTAGAACTGCAGGACTGTTCATCTTTCTCTGATTCCAGTGCATTGGATGCATGTCACATTTTGGTGTCCATCCTCTGGTGGCAGATTTGCTGTGATTGTATTTTGGTTTCCCTTTGAACCTATAGATGTTCTTTCAAAGAACATCTTCCATCATATTTCTGGAAGATCTTCCAGAGAAGCGGTTCTGGGAGTTTCTGCTTTCCCATATATTTCTAAAATTTATTCCTATATCAGAAGCAAGATCTTTCTTACATGATTTTGTTGCCATGATTAAGTCTGTGTTGTTTTTAGATTGTCATTCAGATACTGAGGTCAGTAGTACTACATTAAAAATAGAGGTTCAGGGCTTCACAGGGACAGATTAGAAGCCAGGAGAACTTCAGGGGTGCTGTTGTCAGTGTAATCACAGAGTTTTCTACCTGTAAAAAGATTCTAGAGCACCCAAGTGGCCTCTGAAATAGTTGCCTTGGTTTTCAGGCCTGGATTTATTTTATATTGGTAGAGAAAAAGGTTCAATCTAGTCATCTTTTAAGGATGTTGAGAGTGAATCAGCTGCTTAATCATGGCAGAAGCAGGAAGGAGCAGCAGCAGAGTTTGCCTCTCTGCTGCAAAAGAAAATGTTTTGAACTGTGGTGTGGTTCACTAGAATGTTAATTACCAAAATGTAGAAGAAATATTGGCAGTGACAATGACAAGGCAAGGTCTTGCAAGGCTGAGGGGGAGCTTTCTGCACATGCATCATGCAGTGAAGAGATGATGGACTGTGTGTAACCCTTGCTCTGTGCAAGCACACCCCTAACAGAGGCTTTGTTCATATGAATCCATGTGGTGACTGAGTGTAGGGTGTCCTGATGAGGCTTGCTTAGGGGATGGAGCTGCTCTTAGACAGTGAGCTGGGCAGCTGAGGAGACAGGTGATGGCACCTGAGGTGGACAGATACAAAGTGTGTACTCCAGGCTGCAGGTAGTCAGCTGGGTCTCTGCTGTAAACGTTTTCACACAGTCCAAAGCTCCAGTGTATTTGGAAATACCTCTGCAGAAGGTACTCAGGTGGTATCTCCCTGATGCAGGCCTTAGAACCAGGGCAAATATCTCTTTTCTCTGGAGGAGGGCAGCTGCAGTGGAACAGCTGCCTCTGAAGTGACCATAAAAAGTTAGCCTATGGTATTCACTGTTCTTTTTAACTGGGGTGTAATATCTCCTTCAATCTATGCAGTGCTAGATGGATTGAATTAGGGAATGCCGGAATCATTTTGTAGTTTCTCTAGTATACACTTGCAGTCATAAATATTTAAGTTATAAAGTAATCTCGTTATCCACAAAACATACTCATGTCATTAGAGCACGTTTTTATTCTCCAGAGGTGTCAGAAGCTTCCATGCATTCAGAAACTACACACAGTAGTTTGCACATAATCAAAGTGAAGCTTGTTTCAGGCTAGATAAACTATGTCCAAGATTACTAAATTGCTTGGTGGCCGTGAAGATGGTTTATAAGGCTATATGTTTTAATATATGCAGCTCCATAAAAATGAAAATAAAATTTAGAGGATCCATCATTAGATTTGGAAAACAATGCTTAACAGATTTATTGAAGGAGAGTATTGTTTATACTGAATTATTCCAGACCAGTTCCAGTTCAGTGTCTTTTTAAATGAAATGGAAGAGGTATAAATTGTACCCATGATAATGCTAAAGCTGTCTAGAAATGTTATAAAGTTGGGATTTGCATATAATAACTGACTAAAAGCTAGCAGAATTTTTGACAACTTATGAATTAGCAGGAGGTAAATATGCCAGTACTGGCAACTTCAGCCTTTTGGAAAGTATGAATTAGATATTAAAAAAAATCAGATGGTCCCCAGAAGTCATAAGACTTAGGCTTTTTTCTCTCTTGAAAGGACAGATGAGTTTGTCAGTTAATTGCTGGCTCCCAGGAGCTGGAATCTGAAGGACAGTACTATGTAATAGGTGATTCTGAGTAACGTTGTGGGAGGTTGTAGCAGGGTTCTTTCTCTGAAGGCAGTTGGAAGTACTGCATTTGCTGGTGGTTGGAGAAGCATTTACTCCTTCATGCCTTTGTTTCCTGAACTTTGAAGTGCCACAGATCAGATTGTGTCCAGTCTCTGCACCATCTCTGTTGGGTGCACGTGGGAAAGAGAAGTTCCTGAGCTGCTTTTTGCAAGGGCTGTCCATCTTTCTACAAACCTTCAAGGCCAGGGACTACAGGCTGTGTGGGGAACGTGGGGTTGCTTTCCAAAGTATGTGGGCCAATGTTTTGGTGGGTTTTTTAGAGCTGCTGATCATGAAGACCTTCAGACAGGGCAGAACAATGTTTTGCATCATGTTGGTGTCATTGGAGAGAAAGTAAGATTGCTGAAGATGTCACTCAGAAGTTCTTGGGTTTTGCTTTCTCCTTGGGCTGCAGCCATGATGCCTTGGAACCCCCTCTTGCAGGCTGCCTGGGGGAGCTTGAATCAGGTGTTGTTTGGGATGGCAGCAAAACTGCAGAAAATTATCTAGGAGACTATAGCCACCGTCTTCTTTTTATTTGCTAGTCACTGCTTCGTTGTTGTGAGATGGTGTGTGGTGAAAGGTGGTGGGTTTGAGAGCACTGTGAAGCTGTGCCTGTGTGGACTGCTCTTGGTGCGCTTGAGGCTGCGTCCTGAAAACGCAGTATGGCTGTCAAAACCTGACTGTTGTGATTTGAATAATTCTTTGCCTGCTCCCACTGCTTCCAGAAGTTGAATTGTATGGATGTCTGGTTTTCCTTCCATGGCTGGACTGTTGCTGTGAAGAGCTGGACAGTGATTGTGCATCCCCCTTGATCTAGAAGAGTGGTATGTTGCTTTGTGCTTCTGTATTTAATGACTAAACAATTAAGTTAGGGGAGGTAATTTTTTTTTTTTTTTTTTAATTGTGAAAACTTCAGCTGTTAGTTTTGCATTCATTCAGTGATGTGTCTTCAGTAGGAGCCTATTAATGCATTTTCTGTCTTTTAATTTTCAGTGCAGGGTCGTTTCTCTGCTGGGTGAATGGGCAAAGGGAGGCATGGAGCAACTGGAGCGGGTGCCGATTTTAAAGTTTTTGGGCCAGACAGTTGCTCTTGAGCTCTTGAATAGACTATGGGACTATTAAGTTTATAGCTGCTTTGGGTTTTAGTTATCAAGATAAAGAGGAATTGCTCCTAATCTTAGTCATTCAGCTGTGCTCTCAGAGTCCTCATCCTTCTAAAAATGTTTTCACAGGCCAAATGAGGCCACCAGCAGCGTCTGTGCAATCTGCTTGTTTTCTGACAGCAAGAGGCACCTGACTGGGCTTTTGACTTCCTTTGGCTTAAATAACGTGGATTGGTTTTTTCCTGGAGTCAGCATTTTTGAGTGGCCTAGGGAATGAGAGGTCAGCATCTTTGGTGGGTTCTGGGGGGCTGATGTTTCTTGGAGTATGATCTTGCAGGTTGATGATAAGCCATCAACAGATTTGCAGCTTCTGTGTATGCAGAATAGTTGTATCTTTAATGGAGTCTGAGGGCACAGGGAACTTGAGAGAGGTGCTCTGGTTTGAGATGATGAGAATCAAAAGGGAAGCAGTGGCTTCCCAGTAATGCAGCTGATGAAGATGAAGCAGTGCTCTTGCTCTTCCTGAGGCTTAGCAGAGGGTGGGAGCAACACTGCCTTCCTGTAGCAGCTCTGTACAGCTAATATTTTTATTTCTGTGTAGTCACATAAAAATCTAGATACAAAAAAGAAGCAACTCTGAGTAAGGAAGTGTTTGGGGGTTTTATTTGTTGCTTTTTTAAAGTACAGCTGCTTCTTCGCATTGAATCATTCTTCAGTTTTTGACATGAGTTACTCTACTGCTGCTGTACAGTGGCAGGAGTGTAGTGAAGCCTAAGTATGAATTTTCAGTTTATCTTAAACAATTTGAAAGTGCTAAGTTCTTCATAACTCATTCCATTGAATAGCTGGCTGAAGTATTTGAGACCAGTTTGGGAGGGACAGGGGAAAGCAAAAGGGTGTTTCTGAGACGTGGTACTGTGTGGAAAGAATCACAAGACCATGCTAAGTTACGAAGTGTTAAAGTCTGTGGACTGTACTGAAA